TCATTAAAAAATCGTCTTCTCAAGAACCACTGGACCAGGAAAGCTGAAATTTATGTGGAAGCATCCTGGGGTAGTGTAGCATCTAAATTGTTCAAATCATGACCCCAGTGGATAGGGCGGGGCCACAATAGGGAATCCAATTTTTACATTGAAATATTTAGGAAAAATCTTAAAAAATCTTCTGAAGAACAACTGGACCAGGAAAGATGACACTTATGTGGAAGCATTTGGGGGTAGTGTAGAATCTAATAAATTGTTCAAACCATGACCTCCAGGGGTGGGACAGGGCCACAGTAGGTATTATGAGGGGGAGAATCTGGTGAAGAGCAGCATGGCAAAAGTGACTCAGGTGTGTGATATGGCCCATGGGCCTCTTGTTTGTATGATTTTCATAAGAAAGTGGCAGCACTTACAGGATATTATTTTTGAAATATTATAGCCATCAGTTGATATCTATTTTCTTTTCAGGATCCAGCCTATAGTACTGGTAAATTTGGAGAAGTCAGGGAGTTAATCCTAGGAATGCTGGAAACTTATAATTATGAACAGGTGTGTTATCAGCATTCAGTTTGATCACTTAGTCAAAAGAAGTTAACCCTAGAGATATGAGAATTTGAAATGTTATTTATAGAATTGCTACCAGCATCTGCTAAAATACATGTAAAACCAACTCAGTACCAGCTATTAATTAAGTTTTTGCAGAAAAGTCAAGATGATTTCCTGAACATCCTACAAGCTGCATGTATTTGCAATCCAAATTTTCTAAATAATTAGTTTCAAAACAAAAGTCCATTTGGCCTTTCTGATCCAGAAAGCATCCAGAGGTGTTGTATATTATAGTATATGTTTAGAGTGTTTAGAGTTCTAATTCTAATCAGAAACAATATGGAGAAATACTATAAAACTGGAGCCATGTTCATCTCTCCTGCAGTGGTCTGCTTTATTGGTTAACAAGCACTGATAATAATTTTGCCTTTTTTCAGACATTGATGGAGACCTGTAAGAATTTATTGAACCATGATATCCACGTCCATCTAAAGAATTTAACCTCAGCGGCCACCAAAGGCTACATTCCTAAAGGAGACAGTTGTAATCTGTGTAGCAAGCAGTTTATAAACCAGAATGAGGCTGATACTGTCATCATATTCAGGTATGCTAGAAAATATTTTTTATGAGAGATGAGTTACTGATATTTATGCATGTAAATGAAGTATATATATTTACATTCTAAAATTTGTATCGTACATATGTTATTACATGTAAGGAGGGGGGGGGGAATTACATCTGGTATGTCAGTATGGGAATTTACTATGATTGCTGCAGGCATTTTACTTAGAAATACAGCAAAGAAACTCAAACTACAGGACAGTGTCAATGAACAGACACAATTACCGGTACATGTAAGGAATGTTTTTAAGTTTTGTGTTAGTTATTGGTGTGTGAATCACTCAGACCTGTCACGTAGGCATATTTCATGAAAAATACGCCTACTTGCAAGTCGGTGTGATTCACACTAAACTGAAAAACATTCCTTAATACATGTAATTACATTTTACATGTTTGGAGACAACTAAAATATACTGTACACCAACTTTTATGCGCGACGACTTTATTTCGCGATTTACCAGAGGTAAACTAGTCGGCGACGATTTATTTTTGCGATCAGACATTTTTGGGTCTTTTTCAAATAGACAAAGAGACTTTAAGTACCGGTTTGCGGTGATGACGTAGCTTTCGCAAACTTCTGAAAATTTCTCACATGCGAATAGAAGTTGATTTACAGTACTCAATATTTGAATTTCTCACTGCCCTATATCGTCGCATTTTTACTAACGTCACTGCAGTCTCATTGTGACGTCACATTAACGCATGTTTCTCCGTGTATATTTCTACACGTGAGTATACACGAAAATGGTATTCAAATCAATTTTACTGTTGGCTTAGTAGAAAAACACAGTGAATGTAAATATTACTATATCCCCTCCATTTCTGTTGCAAGGGAACGATTATTTCAGTAGGGGTTGAGAATGCATGTATGTCAATTTAGTAAGATGATGACATTTCAGATGTGGGCACAGTTACCATAAGGGCTGCCTGCAGTCGATAGGTTCCGTCAGTGTGATTGAGGGCGAGGATTCCTGGATCTGTTATCTGTGTAGCCACAGGAAACGAGGACAGTTCCAGAGTACTAGATTCCACCGCAGTAATAGTCACAGAGGGCAAGCCATGGGCAAAGATGTTAGTACACAGTTTATTTTATTTTCTAATAACTTGATGTGTAATTTTTATTTTTGTTTATATTTTCTATTTTAAATGTACCTGTCCATGAAAATGAAAAATCCTCCCCCTTTTAGTTTTGCCCTGGTTGTAGATGGGCGAAATTTGTTGAATTCAAGAGACAGAGCTACCTCTCTTTTATCACTTCTTTGTCGGGACAAATTTAAAATGGTCAAGAAACATTAAGAATTGTGTGATAGAGCAAAAATTCACAATATTATTTTTTCCTTAGAAAATTGCTGCTGATCCTCAATACTATCAGACATTGGACTTTATGAAGAGCTTTCTTAAGACTCCATCAAGGGTTTGTTATTTTTCGTGTTTTTTCACATTCTTCTGTTTTTCATTCATTAATTGTCAATTTTAAATGTAAGAAATAAAATACTGAGCAGAAAAAAATAGAAAAGACACTAAGTTTTCTCATGTTAGTTAGTGCACAATTTTTTTTACTTGGTACTTTTTAGCTCTACTGGTCAGAGACCAGAAGAGCTTATGCGATAGTAATGCGTCCGTCGTCCGTTCATCTGTCTGTCCGTGTGTACATGGTCACTATTTTTTTGTCTTTGTCTATCTGTAAACAATTTTTCAAAATGCTATTCCTCCTACAGTTTTGCTCTGATTTCAATATAACTTGGCACACAAGTAGATTATAAAAAATAATTCCGTATATCGGTTTTTGATTTCGATATTAACGCACTTGCCGTGGTAAGTAAAAATAGAAATTTCTGTGAAATTCTTTCAAAATGCTACTTCTCCTACAGTTTTAGTCTGATTTCAATATAATTTGACACACATTTTAGACTACACTAAGATTCTTTCTGTGTATCGGTTTTTGATTTGATAAACGATTTTATGTAAACTGAAATTTCTGTGAAATTTTTTAAAATGCTACAGTCCTAAATACATATATATATGAGTGTAGCATTTCAATATAACTTGGCAAACAAGTAGATTACACTAAGATACATAATGTTTTGCAAAGATATTTTAATATATGCATACAAAATTGTTGCCGTGGTTACTAAAAATAGAAATTGCTGTGAAATTCAATTTACAAAATGCTCGGGACTCCTCCTACAGTTTTGCTCTTGTTCTCAATAAGGCACACAATGAGTACATGTAAATTACAAAATTCTGTGTTCAACAGTTATAATTATTACATACGGTGATTCTCTCAATTACTAAAAATAAGTTAGAATTTTTTTTTGCTTTATACTTTTTTTTTCAAAGTGCGTTTTGCTATGGTAAAAAATGTTTATGTACACTCTTAACGCACTTTGAAAAAATTTTTCAAAGTATGTTGCATTTGTAATACATGTTAATAAAATACTGATGGTGTACATTTTCCCCTAAGTGTTATTATATGCACTTTAAAAAATTTTGTAAAGTGGTCAATTTTTTCTGTGGAACTTTGCCACACAGCATATATAACATACATGTACATTCAAGACAAAGCTAAACAATCCAAGAAATCTGCATTGGATGGAACTGAAATTATGATTCTGCTAAACTATGTCCCTGTAGAAAAGGGTACTTTTATAGTACCCAAAAGTCTATGCTTGCAGTATTTTGCAAATATTAACCAAAGTATACATTTTAGAATCACTAACAGTAAAAATTCTTCTGTATTGTAGATGGCCCTTCTTACTGAACTGTCTAAAGGATCCTCCCCTAAGTCTCACAGAGGATCTTCTAGTATCTTCAATCAGGAAAACTTCCAGCTCAAACTAGCACCGCCTCCAGCAATGGACTCTGTGCCGTAGTCACCGACAGCTTATAAATGTGTGTTTTGTGTGTGTGATAGTGAATGAGTGCATTTATGTGCAATATACAAATAATGTTTTAATTTTTGTGAAATAATACTTATTTCATTTATGTCCATTTGTTACATATGTATATGAAAATTGTGTTTGTTTTAAAAAAAATTCACTCAATACATACATGTAGGTACGAGAAGTAAAATAGTAGATACATGTACTGGAACTTGTTTTTTTCTTTTACCAACACATAGTTATTAGTCATTAATTGTGAGTTCATATTGGTTAAGTATCCTTGGTTCTTTCCTTCTCCTTAGATTACTTTGTGTTCCAGAATTTATTTCAACATTGTGTTAGCATGAATTTACCATTTATACATTTATATGCTATAATGTTTTATTCCTTGGCTCCTCAGGAATTTGACTATTTAAACTTCTAGAAGCTGCATGTCTGCATATGCAAGAATTTCCTTGTGGGCATTATTTGATATCTCTAGTCAGTAATATTGAGAAAGATCATACATGTACTTAGAAATATTGGTGCAGAAATTAGAGAGATTAATATTGAAAAAACGATGGAACTTCATCACAGTTAAATGAGGACCATCAGCAATATTGCCATAAAAAGGTACAGGTACCTTCCTTTATAATTTAGTCGCCCACATGGCTCAATGGTTTCAGCATCTGCTTCAGAGTGGCATAATAAGTAGTTGATCCTTGCGTCGCAGGTTTGAATCCCACTGTGGGACATGGAGACCAGTCCTATGCATGAGACCGTATAAATTGAGGTCCCGCATAGCAGTAGGTGTTGGCATGAAAAAGATCCTGCGGTGCTCAATGACCCCAATTGCTGAACATAAGTTTCCACCAGCAAGTGGTGGCGTCTCCATATGAGTGAAAATTTTTTTGAGAGGGACGTTTAACAACGTACAATTGATTAATCAATTCTTCATAAAATAAGAAAATATTTCTGCACACTAAAAACGAAATTTATTGCATACATATTGAAACTGGTACAACAAAATCATATTTTTCTACTAGCACACCCTGTCCAATCCTTGCCAACTTTGCAACACCCGTAAACATGAAGCAACTTTCTAACTGGTGGATCAAAAGGGAGTGGATAAACATTATTACTTGTCGTATTGCTATTCTAAAATGATACAGCTCTACTGTTGAGATCCTTCACTGAGCAAGGGCTTCTCCAGAAAAGTCTAGAACATAAACTGTTTACAGAATGAAATGTCAAAGGATTGAACAGGCATGCAGGAACTAAATTTTGTCTTAACTAATGTGGATATATCATTTTTCCTGGCTGGAAGTGATTTGGATCAGCTGTTTTCAAAAAATGATTACAGTAAAAATATCATAAGGTCTATCTAATCTAAAAAAGATCATAATATTTTGACATGTACACTGAAATGAATATACAATTTTTTGTTATTAGCTATGGACATGCTCAGATTTGAAGAGCACTATGTAAAAACTAAGATACCATTGTACAAAAAAAAAAACATATACATGTAAACCTTATCCATTGTAAAGCTTAGAACATCAGGTACAGATTTATATGTATATAAAAGCACACACATCTCACACACACGTTACATGTATACTCATGCATATGAGATAATAGCACCCAGTTGTAGAACTCCTTTCGCTGGGTTCGAAACCAGCCCATCCGAGTTCTATGATTTCATAAAAACGGTAAAAATAGCTAAACTTTCCGACGTAATATATATATTTCAAATACAGCAGTTATTCGGCAAGAAGACCCAAGTACAAATTTATTAATGGAGAGAGCTCAAAAAGCACGATGAAATCCAATCAAAAAAGATAATCACAGTTCAAATATTTCAACAGATTTTTGTTCAAAGGAATAATCTATAATATAATACATGATAAATGAATTTTTGATAAAAAAAAAAGTTTCAGTTGAATCATAAATTATAGCTACCATAGGAAACATAAAATATTAAGGTCTGGTAGAGGAAACAGAAAGTTTACTTCCCACATCTTTGAACACTTTAAATGAAGGTAAAATATGTAATTTTGAATCAGCCAATGTCTGTCTTAAACCTGCAGTAAATCAAGACGTGTTTTTAAATGTTCAAATGCCCAGAGTCAACATATCTTTGCCACAATGACCAAAGTAATAAAATGCTTTTAACATGCAATGCCGGTGTGGTTTAATATATTGTGAAGATTAGAAAAGGGAGGAGGAGAAAAAACGGCAATAAATATTCAGGACAACCTTAGCACAACTTAATTATTTCACACCCAGTGTATACAGCTGATATATGTACACAACAACTAATGACGTAATATATAATAAAATACACTGTACAATGCAGAAATCTATTGAACAACATGTATATACTATTTACAAAATAGGTTCAGCAGTGAAATGCTATGATACATATTAACGATTTCATTTATAAATACCGGTATTGAAAAATAAGTTAAGCAGGGAGATGTAGGGGGGGGGGGAATAACGCAGATCAAATTTTTCAATTTTTAAATAAAATCTTTAAAAGAAAAAAAAAAAGAGTTGAATACAACCTACAGAGAGAACAACCACAACAAGAAACAATCAACAAATATAACAATTTAAAATTTTCAGCACAGTTGTATGAGGATTACATTTTTAAATAGTATGTAAAAAGGTTTATTCTACAAAATAGCTCGCTCCATAAAAAACGAAAAACTCTACAGAAAAACAATTACCCGATCAAAAACAACAAAGTCTGTATGCCAACATCAGCACTTGTTGTGGAAGACTCAGTGGTCTATACCAGTTTAACAGTTCGTTTCAACATTCTGTACAAAAAACTACCAACCTGTCATATAGGTTTAACAAACAGCAAACATTCTATAATGTAGTTGCATAATGATTCATGATATGATCACATTGACATGCAAATTAAGTCAACAGTAATTTTTTTATACACTGTAAGTACTTGGTTTGATAATAATACGATTACAAACACATGTTCGTACTGCTTGTCTATTTCAGCAGTATACATATTTATATATTTACTAACTTAAAAATAAAGTAGGTTTGCATTGGGGTAAAATTCTAAAAAAAAAAATCATTCACCATTCGAATATACTTTCTAATGCATATAAAAATATACATATGTAACCATGGTAACACAAACACAATATCAAGACACTCAATATCTTTGTATAGAAACAACCTTTTCTTTTCTGTTTGTAAAAATCCCAATGGACGTCACATTTTGTTGTGAAGTTTTTTTTTAAATTTCACTTGCATGTGCAGAACAGATCCTTGACTTTGAATAAATAATATCTTGCAGCACAACACAATATACAAATAAAGCTATCTAAGCACTGACCATATTCGTAAACATCATCATGATCAATGTTATAAAATGGTAAGAAAATCAAAGACCAATGAAATTTCAATCTTTCTTCCCTTGACCAATCATAACCTTTGTTACAAAATTGACAATGGCTGATGCTGGCTGACCAGGGTCTAGTTCTGCAAACAGATGACAGGTGTTGTCAGTTCCACCACTTTGTTTCTTGGCAACAAATCCAAATATTCTGAAAAAGAAACAAATTCTTTAGTTTCACTGTGTTCAGATGACATCTGTTCAAGATTTTTTTTTGGGGGGGGGGATATTTGTATTCTGGTAATTTATGAGGAAAATCTTAAATAATCTTTGTTATTTTCCAACAAATCAAATATCCTGATTAAAACAAGAGATGTTTGTAAAACACTTATGCCCCCCTCCTCCCAAATTGGAATTTTTCCAAGTCCAAGGGGCAAAATTCTGTCAAAAATGGCCGATTATAACCAAAACAGAATTTGACCTAGATATTCATCTGATAAATCTGTATACTAAATTTCATCTCAGCATGTGCAACGGTTGTGAAGAAAAAAGAAACTGCAAATAATTGGAATTTTTCAGTACGGGGCATAAAACAAAACTTTTATACCTAAAACAGAACTTGACCTAGATATTAATGTGACATATCTGTATACTAAATTTCATCTAAGAATGTGCAACGGTTGCAAAGAAAATGAACGGAAACTGCAAATAATTGTAATTTTTCTAAGTCCAAGGGGCATAACTCTGTGAAAAATGGTGCGATCGTACCCAAAACAGAACTTGTCCTAGATATTCATCTGATAAATCTGTATACTAAATTTCCTGTTGTGCAACGGTTCTGCAAATAATTGGAATTTTTATAGGGGCATAACAAAAATACATTTGTGATATATCTGTATACTAAATTTCATCTCAGTATGTGCAACGGTTGTAAAGAAAATGAACGAAAACTGCAAATAATTTGAATTTTTCTAAGTCCAAGGAGCATAACTCTATCAAAAATGGCTCGATCGTACCCGATACAAAACTTGACCTAGATATTCATGTGATATATCAGTATACCAAATTTAATTTCAGTATGTGCAACGATTGCGAAGAAAATTAAGTCTCGCAGCAGCAAAGCAATAATAAAAGTTGGTTGAAAAGGATATCAGTAATTCTAAAATTTTTAAAATATGTTATTTCACCACATCCATAAAACTTACTGTTTTCCTTCTGGGTCCATCCCACAGTATGTGACAGATGATACAGGGTAATGTCTTCTAAAGAAAAGCCTAAAAAAAAGGACATTCAAATATGTAAAAGAAAATCAGGCAAAGTTCATTTAAATAGGCAGATAGGAGAAACAAACACACTTCATCTATTTTCAAAAGATAAAATAAGATGTTTCTGTCAAAAGTTTTCAAAACTTGTCAAAGTCTAATTAAGAAAATGTGGACTTACAAAATATATATCATATATTCATGTTTTTCGCAGAACAAATTTTTAGCAAGAGAAGAAATGAAGGAAAAATCATCCCAATTTACAGCAAAGACTTACTTCCTCTGGTTATCTGTGAGTGTGATACCCTGGTTAGAGACTTTGAAATGAACAACCGTCTGCTTTGGTTTGTGATTTCCATCGAACGTCTGCTTGATTGCCTTGGCAACAGCCTGGGGCCCAGTAAGGGACTCCGTGTCCACTGAGTTCAGGTAGAGAACATTGCAGGCTGGAAACAAAAGTCCATATTACGTTAGAAATTCTCAAGGGGGCCTTATGTGCTAGCAGGCATGAAGAAGACAGGTGAGGTGAGTGATATTACTTTCCTGTGACCAATATTGTCATACCTATTTGTTTGCTCTTTTGTAATTATGCAAATTAGTGAGACAAATTTACATAAAAAATCAGAACGAGAACTCTTACCTGCCCCTTGAGCAAGAAGAGCAGCAGCAGAACTGGGGAAGTCCGGTGAAGTAGGACCATCTACGTGATCATGAATGGTGTCTGTAAGGTTAGAAATAACAACTTAGGACAAAAGAGATAGAATACCGCATCAGGAACAAAATACTTCTAAAAGAAATGACTGTGACCAGCTTTCATTAATAAATACACAATGTAGGTTAAGCATCACATACCTGGTTCTGGTAAAACTAGTTTACATGGCAAGGCCAGTGGTGTCAGTGAATGTTGATAAACTAATGAAGCTAAGCTTCCTGTAAAAATAAAATATTTACATATTACATTAACAGTTCTGATAATTATCTTTAAATCAAATAAAGAAGTGAGTGTATCTTAAATAGTATGAATTATGCTTTCCAGACTTAAGAATTTTTTTGTTCATCTGACAAATGAGTGAAGTAGTCTCCCTTATCAAAATATTTACATTTTAAGCCAATAATCGGTAAATCAACAATCGGACTAGGCATCCCCTACAGATACACAAAGCTCCATTTAATACAGTGAAAAGTGTCTAATCCAACACTATTTAATCCATATCACAGTGAATCCCAACCTTTATTTTCATTTCAATTTTACCAATTTCCATGTACTTTACACTGCACAATCTGACACCCTGTCTATTTTAACATAAAATTTTGTCTCTCAATGGATATTGGATTATAGACACATTTAACTGTATCAAGAAAAGTTCAATATTTTCTCAAGATTTTTTTAAAAAGTGAGTACACATGTACTGACCGAAAACAGGTTCATTATTACAGCCTCTCAATCTAACTCCTTTAGGGGTGGGTTCTATGAGGAAGTGCCTGACCAGGTCTACTGAGGGGTCCCCGGTGGACTTAGTCTGGACGTTAGCTGGGACGGTGGCCACCTTCAGAGCCAAACCAAAGGCCCCTGGGAAAGAGTTACTGTCTCTCACGACAAAGGTACCTGGAGCCTTGTCTTTCAGCAGCTGAATAGCTATAGAAAACAAAATAACATTTGAGAAATCTTCAAAATCTAAAGAGTTGTAAACAAGTCAAAAGCTTTTGAGAATTCTGTAAAAAGTGGATTTTTCCCATAAGTATGTTCAATCTTTAGCCTAAGCAGAAATGCATGTCCTTTTTGAGATATAAAAATTGTGTTTCCAACATATTTATTTGATACTTACCCTCTTCTCTAGAAATGTTGGGTTTATACCAGTATTTCGATGTGTCTTTAACAAACTTTGGTGTGGCATGGAGAGCATCAACAGAATCTGATGACAAAAAGATCAAATCATTATAATTATGTACAAGTGAAAGACATTTCACAGGACTTAAAACATTCACAGAGTGAATAGATTATACAGCATAAAATAATTTTTAAATGAATAAAATGTCAAGATACACATAATCCTTTGAGAGTAGTGACTAGCCCCCCTACATACCAGTAACAGAGGATAAGCTCCCTCTCCTAGAGAGTCCAAAGTACACACTGGGTGAACTTTGACCTGTGACGGTGTTAGGACTGAGGGCAGCTGACTGTGACACATTGTTGGCCACGTGAAGCTGCTGTCTGAGAGTGTTCAGTGTCTCAGGGGAGTGGGCGCTGGAAGTAAAGACAGGAATCATCAGCAAACACTGGTCAATGAGGGTAGCAATGTATTCATTAATTAAAACAAAGTTTAAAATTTCAAGTTTGGACAAAGTAAAATTGAAGATTTGCTTATTCTTTCACAAAATGATTCATCCTTATGTTTTAGCACAATATGAATGTTCATCAAACTTTTCCTTAAACATATCTTCTTGGGTGTCTTACTAACATACCTATCTTACAAACAATAAAAGATAATAAATGAGTAAAAAGATCCTTGAGCCCCACTCCTTTTACTTGTTATTTGCTAAATCCAAATGGTACCCAATTAAATACAACTCTGACTTCATTCAAGAGCCTTTCCTAGCACCTTACCTTGCTGGACTCCTTGACCCGATACCAGCTGACATCATCGGGGGACTGGAGGTGTCTATGTGTAGGGGGCTCCTGGTGCCCATGTGTTGCTGCTCCTCAGTCAGGTAATGCTGCTGTGGATGTTGCACATGTTGCTGATGTTGCTGCTGGTTTGTCTGGTAGCTGTGCTGTTGGTGACTGGTTTGGTAACTCTGTTGATACTGGAAGTGTTGTTGTTGTTGTTGCTGTTGTTGATGTTGTCTTTCTATAGGTATTGGTTGACTCTGTGATTGTACTTCTCGCTGCTGCATCATCTGGTGACTGTTATCTGTCATGTAAAAATTTTTTTATTCCATATGTTGAACACATGCTGCTCTGCTTTTATAAAAGCAATTTTAATTCATTTATATTTGTTACTTAGTAAATAAATATGTTGAAGCATTTTTAAATCAATATAATTGTTTTCAAACTTGTAATAAAGAAGAGCAAAGATATTCAAATTATAACAGCAGCTTGTATTGCCAATTACAGTTTTCTAAGAATGGCAGATATCACCAAATAACATTGTGCATTACTGTATATGCAGCACTGAAAGCATATTTTTTATTTACTTGTACCTAAATATCATCATCTTACAAATTGAAAACAACAAAATGTTTCATCTATAATCTATAAATTTTTCATCAGTTATTATGTCTACACTAACCTGTGTACATTCCGGGACTCACTGGGAAGCTGGGGGTAGTGGCTGTGGGGAAGCTTGGGGTGGTAGATCTGTTGAGTGTCCCCACACTGGTTGGTGAGCCTTCAGGCTCCAGGGGCTGCATGCCTGGTCCAATGGGCCTCAGGCTGAAGCGGTCCTCCTCTACCGTCCGTGAAGTCTTGGGGGTGGTAGCATAGCTCTGTCCCTGAAAGGCCAAAACACTACATTTTTAACCCAAGCAAATCTCTACTTCACATTCTACATTTTGTCTACCAATTTTTTTCTGTATTAACATACATTTATCTTTTCTATACATACATTCTCTTAATGAAATCATTCATGCAAAGTCTCTTAATATTCAATGTGTCTTAACAGTATTTCATGGAACACTTCCCTTTTTTTACCTTTGAAGAGAAATTCTCCTGTTCCCACACAAGATCCCAGGTGAAAATATTTTATACATGCACATTGGTGAAACACTTTGATAATACAAGTTTTAAGTCCAAGGCCCACAGGGTTTTGTAGATTAAATCACGTTCCATTAATTATGAGAATAAGGTGCCCAACCTTTGACATAATGATGCATGATTTTATACTAATTTAGTGATATCGTTACAATGCACTACAACACATTATAGGAAAAATATGGGAATAAAAAAAATATTGATCTGAGATTAAAACAAGTACCTTGACCTTTCCATTTTCTCAGGATATTTATAAGCTAAACATGCCTTTGGGTGTGGGAAAATAAATACTTTTCTTATTTCCTTTAAAAATACCATGCTTGAATAAATTTATTCAATTTAAACCTTTAAATAATGTAGGGGGATGGTACGTATCCTAACTAAGTGGTGATTATGGATGGATTGAACATAATCAGCGAGATGATGCATATAACTGCAGAAGATGCTATCAACAAAATGTTCCCCCCTGAGCATTCCCCATATCAATTCCCAGATAATGAGTTCCATCACATATAGAGTGCAGTCTGACACCCTTGTACTTAGTGCATGCTTTATCTCTTCACAGGACACCTCAGACTAAAACAGTTTTAAAATCTTTTTTGAACATGACAAACCTTCCTGCTAATAAGAAGAAAGTCAGTCAACTCATTTTTTGGGGGTCAGATTGTCTCATGAGTTTTAGTACAGATTTTTTACTGATTTCACTTACAGGAAGGGAAAAAAAAACAATTTTTGAGCAAGAAAAAAATATTTTCTTTTATTGCAACATGTAATTAATTCAAATGATTTTATTCATAAAATGGCTGTCTACTGTAAAATCTCAAATTTTGATGGGGTTAAATTTTCAGGCTTTGAGGAAAATATATTTTTCTTCAAAAAAAGGGAACTGATTTCTAGGCTGAAGATGTGTTGAGCTGTTTGTACATTCAAAATTATGAACCCCTTCTTACCCCAAAACGTCAAAAATTACCCCCTCTGCCCCCCCCCCCCCCAAAAAATTAAAGTGATTTCACAGTATAAAGTAAATTTTTCTCTCATAAATCTAGTATTCATCCCTATTGTAGACTTACAGCGAGTGTGCTGGACATCTGTTGCTCCTGTTGCTGCTGCTGTTGCTGGTAGTTGGTTTCATACTTCCGAGTCTCCACACGCCGTGTGACAACATGTTCCTGGGTATAACCACCCGTTGTCTGTTGTTGATTCAGATTCTGTTGTTGATTGAGCACTGTGTTGTTGACAGCACTCAATGACTGTTTCAGATCATCAAATTTGTCATCTCGTTCTGTTGTTTTGTATGATTTTTCGACAGTTCCTACAAAAGCATGCAGATTATGTAAATGGAAGTAATTTACATTTCCAGCCCATAAATGTAATAATATACATAATTTTTGACGTAACTCATTTCTGTTTTTATTTTTGAATGCAGCCTTTCGAGTTAATTGTATAAAAATATTAGTCTTAAAAAAAACAAAGACAACTTTTTCTGCAATTAATTAGTGAACTTTAACAATTAGTGTCATACAATTAATTAGTGCCAGTTACACTGGTTTTACAAAAGCACAAATCTGGATTACATATATATAAATTCTACATATACTTAGAAACTTCTCAGATAAATATTCATTTAATTATTCGTTATCAACAAAATTTACACAAAAGATCATGGAAAACTCATCAACCCTCAAAGTGGGCTGCACTAGAAAATCTTCACATTACCAGCTTCTCTTAAAACAAGAGCGGTAGCAGAAGTATGGAGTTTTTGGCATGGGCTGACATTAAGCATGCAACACTTCTTTCATTAAGGCATTCCAGCTGGATGCATCATCCAAAGGTTTAGACATCATGCAATAAATAACACATTCTTTTAATTTTGAACCTCTGTCTGTTTAGTTGCTGTAAGTCTGTAGAAGGGGAGGCACAGATGGGTCTGCCTATAAGAACTACAGCCAACTGATTGCCTCACTGAATAAGTAATTAAAGGCAGAGAGGTGATGATCAGTAATTCTCAAGTTTACAGGGGGGCAGGCTGCAGAGAGTCCCAAGGGGCATAACTCTTATCAAGTTGTTTGATAGACTCTATATAATGGGTGTTCATTATCATAACTTCACTTAGTGGGCCAACCAGGATAAAACCGAGATTCACCTGTATACCACTGTATAATACAGTTGACAAATAAATAACTGGATTGTGAAACCTCACAAGTGATGCTTTCACCCAAATTTCAGAAAGATATATGTATCCAATATTTCATATGCAGGCGCGGATCCAGGATTTGGAGTTAGGGGGGCGCCAAAATTAGGCAACCTCACAGGTCCAGGGCAAAGCCCTTTCACCCTGGATTATAGAGAAATTTCAGGAAAGATATATGAAGGGTAAAAATATACCAAGTAGACATATTTGATTTACGCTAATATTTCTGATATGTTATCCATGAAGTTTGTACATTTCTCCCTTCATTTTGCTATATATAGATTATACAATTCTAAAATGTATTCTAAGATTTACATGTGCCTAATATTCTACTATATCTGGGTGTGTAGAATTACTACTTGATTAAATCAATATACATGTGTAAAGTGTGCCTTTTTGACCTTGACCTAAATATGGATGTATGTAGTTACAAGTTAATATACATACACTATTAAAACACAAATACATGAACTACATTGAACAATACTAGCTAGGATACACATTATAATAACTCCTGATTAATATAACAAAGTTGTAAGAGGAGGGAGGGTATACAAAATCAAAGGAAGGACAAGAAGATATGGCTATACATTCCGAGGACATGCAATGAAGTCTATGTACACGCACAAAGAGGGCATGCAGTGGGGTACGTGGAACAGAGGTAAAGAAAAGGTCTGAATGACTCGAGGCAAGATGGAAATTTTGACATTTTGAAAGAGAGAACAGAGTTGTTGTCACAAAATATTTGAGGATTTTGGAATTTTGAAGACTGAAGCTATCACCAGGATAAAATATGTATCTAAAAAAAAATGTTTCCCATTGATTATAGCCAACCACCCAACCATGGTATGCCAAAAAGTACACGTCTTAATTTTTTTCACTCTTATGCCAATCATACTTGTAGAATATGAAACATTAGAAAAATACAGTCTGCAAATATTAATTTACGCAATAATTTTGTTATTTGGATGTCTCCTTATTCTTTTTTTGTTTAATTAGTTAAAAATTATTAACTCTATAAAATAAAATTTACTCTAATTTAGAGCCATTAAAGAAATACCATTAAAAGAATTGCAAAAGGATTTTCTCAGATTCATTTTCCAAATGATGAACAAGGAAAGACAAAAAAAAAATTCTTTGAGATGAACAAACGCAAACATAGGTGGTATGTGTCAAATGAAAATACTACACTATAACATCCCAACTGTTTAAGAGACATATGTTTAATGGTACTCAGAACTTAAAATAAAATGAACAAAAAATGTACTGTGCAGTGGTTTTTCTAGGCTAAAAAACCCAAACTTTGGACAAAAGCAATCTGCCATCTATGAAATAATTAACTAAAGAATAAACAATTTGGATTCCATTATTTCTAAGGTGCAATTCTGTCATTCATGCTTATTGGACATGCTTTGAAACTTCCAACCCCCTATTCCAAAAGCTCGTAAGAGCAAACAAAATTTATACCTTATGATTACAAAAATAATTTGAGCCTGGTTGATATTTCCAAACTAACAAAATATTGTGACTAACATGAAGAAGAAATGATAGAACACCAGATATATATGTTGTCACAAGAATAAAAGAAAAAAAGATAGAAAATAAATTATTGATAAGCCTCATTTTCAAACAGCCAATCAAATCAAGGGTTAAGGGTCCCAGGTCAAGGGTCATACCTGTGGGCACTGCTCCTGGACTGCGGTGTACATAGACCTCAGTAATATAGTGAGATTTTTTCTTGCCTTCTGGTATAGCCGACTCATGAATTTCGGTGACTTTTGACTTAGTTGCTGCATGGCGAGGTAGGCTCTTGGTTTTGTAATTGTCAGACTCAGAGGTCGAGAATGCTCTTTGACTGGTGTGCCTCACCACAGTGGGCTCATGAACTGGAGGAGCACTGAAGTCCCTCTGAAATGTCTTTCGTTCAACTGGAGGAGACAAACTAGCAGCAGATCGATTAGAATACCTATAAGTACTGGTCTGATAAGTGGGGGAGAAAGGTCGGGGGCTACGGGGTGGGGTCGTTATGGTAATTTGACGAATAACAGGGGGCTGGATATCATCCTTACGGTCAAAGGTTACATCAGAGGTTTGCCTTACAAGCTTCTGAGGGCCTTTTCCGTCCACTGCACTATTGCTAAGAGTACGAGATCGCTGCATAAAGTTCTTACTACTGGATCGCATAGGAGGGGAAATGGGGGCAGAAGCTGGCTGTAAAATAACCTTTGTTTGCAGCCCCCTGGTTGGACTTGTGGGTTTTGTTACTCTAGAAACGAAAGTTGAATCACCTGAGGAGAAAGGGCCTGGAGATTTCTCTGTTGAGTATGTGTGAGTTCTGGACATGGAGTAGCTGTATCCCTGGGGAGGGGCAGAGGCTGGACCGTTTGACAGACTGGAATTTTTCACACTGGACGCTTCCTCCTCACTCTGAGCGCGTTTTGTCATGTAACGATTTTGGGCCGAGCGAAGCTCTTCCACCAGTTTCTTTTCCTGTTGAACACGAACATCGTCCTTAAAGTCCTTTTTATCCCTAAGTTTTTTCTGCTGCTGTTGCAGCCAAGAATCCGTATCCGAAAATGTCTTCCCGTTCTGCATGGTGCTGTAAGAAGAGGAGGACATCTCGGATTGATACCGATTGTCATAATCCGTTTTATAAGGGAGAGTGTTTGATTTAGGACTATCGAATTTACGAGCCATCTCGGGTGAGGTGGTATAACTGAAAGCCTTAGTCGGCATGTATGGAGAGGATGATTTCTCCGTCTTCACTGTGTAATGCCTCTCCTCTCTCACTTCTCCAGGCAGTTTATATGTGACCTCCGCCGACTGATGTGCGGGTTTTCCGTCCGGTCCGGTATGTGTCTCGTAGGTCCTAAAAGTCCTGCTTTCCTTGGACATTGTGCTGGAGCCGGACTTTGGACTGATCACTTGGTCATTAAGTAAGTTACTCAGAATATCGTCCAGTTGAGTTTGTTCGTCCAGTGGCGTGACGGACTGCTTGGCATTTGTGGAGTACGGCGTGTTGTAACTCTGGGTTCCGTAGGACTTCGTGTTGTTGTTGGTGTTCTGCATTCTTTTAGTGTCTGTGGAATATGATGAGGACTGCTCATCTCTCCTTAAAACACCTGCTCAATGAAAAAAAGGAAAATTAATAATAACATACTTCAATAATATAAGAAAAAGACTCTTTTTTACATTTCTTTCAGTCAATGAGCTGAAAATTAAGCTCATAGATTCACATGATAACATAGCTTCTTTTTTTGGGAGGGGGGGGGAGAGGACAGAATTGGATTTAATATTAAAATATGATGACAAACACATAGGCAGCTGGACTTGGTTGTTCTTTGAACATTTAAACTTTCTACAATTATTTGACCAACCCTTTGTTCTATGCACAATTTCTAAACAAAGTAATAGAAATACATGTACCAGTGTAACGGTATCTGAAAACTGCAAACAATCAGATTTTTTCTCCATTTATATTACATCAATTGCTCTTCTATGTCATTTGATTAGAGTGAATATCAAACATCAATAGGACCTTGACATTTTGCACAGAAAACTTATCGCTTGTTTATTGTGCCATATAAAGAATTCACAGTAAACCCATCAAAAGAGAGCGCCTGGTTCCTGATAAAATGCTACATTTATTCTCTTCAAAGAAAACAAGAAGCATTTTGTTTTCCCTCACTTTTTGTCGAAAGCAAATCATAACTTGATCACAACTCTATGATGTATATATTTTTTCTAGTGTGTTCTTCACCATGCAGCCATAGTTTGTGGTGGAAGTTCGTAAATAGAAACCCACCTCCTTCATGGAAAAATATCAACTCAATTAGAGTTGACTCCCAATATTCGGGGTGGTACTATCCTGCATTGTAATTTTCATCAATGTTTAGTCTCATGACATTATGTGTGTCTCTAAGAAATTTGGATTAAAAAAATGGACAAAAAAAAACAAGCTTAACAACATTTCAAAATAATGTTATACTCCCCCCCCCCAAAAAAAATTAAAAATAATAAAATACATGTACCACTGGCTAGTAGAATCTTTGGTCAAAAGTACAGCACAAAAGAACATTCTTTACAACATATTGCAAAACACAGCAAAATTTCACAGTAGAGTTCTAATGCATGTTTAATCATTATTGTTTTATTGTAAAAACCTTTAATAAAGGAAAATTAAATAAAATATTTTATTATGTGGTTAAATAAAAAAAAAATATCTGGCTCTCAAGAAACTTAATATCTTTATTACACAGGAAAAAATAATCCACTGCGACTACTCAAGGATGATTAAATGTCTACTTGAATTTTGTGTAGGCGGCAAATACAGCAAATCTATCAAAAAATATGATGAAAGAAGAAATCACCCTTACTGCTTCTTATCAAGGTTTGGGAGTATAAACTTCTGCTAAAAGAAACACATCTTAATGATTACCCCAGTCATAAAATAGTCATAATCATGTATAGCCAACTATTTCCGTCTTTCAGCATTACACTTCACATAACCCAAACCCACTTTTAACCAGCCTGGTGCCTGCATAGCAGTCAAGGTTATACTTGTAATTGACCAGTTCATTGTTTCTTTGGCTATAGGAAAAAAACAATAACATGTTCTATAGATGCACACACACAGAGGAACTGCATATCCCCCACAAGTACTGAGGGGGATTGAACATGACAGATTTATGATGAATGATTCTGTTCTCAGATAGGCATATACACACTGGATAGAGGAAACAGGTTGCTGAGATTTTGCAGGGATTCTCTGATTCTGTCAGAATCAGATTTTGCAGGGATTCTTTGAATATCAGACAGTCAAATCAATTCTTTACAGGCTAGGGTAACATTTATGCAAACACTGGATCTTGTAGTTATCAACAAACCAGTGGCTCTAGAAACTCCTTCAGTCCTTGAATTATTTCCTTACATTACATTACATTGCAACCTTGCAATATTTAGTCTTACATTATTACATGTAATGATACTTCATTACATTTCCTTTAACTGCCTTCAGATTGAAAATCAAATCCCCAACCTGCAACTTCTCTGCAAGTTTGAAAAGGGAGGGGTTGATGCAAGTGTCATGAAGTTCCTTCATGTTTTTTGTAAACAGAAGTGAAAGCAACCAAAAAAAGTGTTTACATTTCGAAGATAACAAGCAATGGCAGTTGGGAGATTGTCATTAGATGGGATTGATATACAGTATATTTTTTGCCTTGGCTCCATGGCAACCTGCCAGATTGACAGCAACAGGATCTTCCGAGCTCATCTTTTTGATCAGCTGTGTTTAATCAGCGTTATGGGATTTTTTTTTTTTAAGGATTTGTTTTATACATATACCACTGACTTTATTTCTTCCTCAGATCTACACAATATCCTTTAGAGAAAAATTCAATGTGTGCAAATTAGATGACTCAATTGATTAAAATGGGTATTAAGATAAAAATAAAATGATGATTCAACAGAAAAGAGTATCCAGTTTAAAAAAAATTCTGATCCAGATTAAAGATATCTCTTCAGCAGAAAATTTGGAACATATAATTTGGATAATGAGTCTGTTAATGAAATAGCTACTGGTAGGCTCAGATATATGGGGCAACTTCCTTTTATGCCCCGGGCCCCTTCACTTTTTGAAATAAGATTAATCACTGAACTTTTCTATGAATAATTTGAATTGTTCTTGTTAATTGAGGATTAAATTTTTAAAAAAAATCATTCAACAGTGAAAAATTACCCCCCCCCCCCCAAATAAGATAATCCAATCCACTTGTTATGCCATATATGATAGATAAATAATGTCAATATTTTTCCATGAATGCAATTTCCAAGAATTGTTATGTTACATATCTTTGATTAAGTATGGATGTATCTGTAACTCAGGAAATGTGACTTTAATGAACACTGTAAAAAATATCAATATCTGGTTTTTTTTTAATCATGGTTTGTTATTTGTTTCAGTTATTTAAATTGATTTATCTTAATACTTGCATTTTTAATTACCAGTAATAAGACACCTTTTATATTTTATGGTAAGCATTATTTGAAAAAGAATATTGAAAAAAAAAAATTAAAAAGGAAATTAATAATGTCCTAAAAAGTTTTTTTTTCTCATTACCAACTTAAACAAGTATAGTTAAAATTATTTTTCAAGAATACAATAATAAGATAAGCAATCTACAGTTACTTTGTATTCTAGTAAATCTGCTTTATATGTATATATATGTATAATAAATAAATTTGCTAGACATAAGATTGAAATTTAAAATATATACATTTGCTAAAATGTCTAGAAAATAAAATATTAAAACATGCATACCAAATATTTTATTAGAAAATGATTGAAAAAAAAGTATGTCTTACCAGATGAAAAATTCAAATTCCTCTCAGGCATTTTCTCAAAAAATTAATTGTCCTCTCTCCCTTTAGCCAAAAAATCTTTCATAAATCACTCAACATATCATAATTAAGTTCACAACTCCAGGCCAAAAAACAAAGAAATCTCTCTCCACCAGCTAGGCACAAAAATAATATACTTCAAAAGAAAAAAAAAAAAAGTATATTCCACAGGTTCACTATGACCACATACTTTTTCTCCCTCCCTGACACAAAAGATTTAACATTTCCTAGCTGTTCATGAAAGAAAAAAAAAAACAACTACCCTATAGTGTAAGATTCCGAGGCAAAGTGGGTTTGCTTAGTTTACCTTTGGCATCTTGAAGCGATTACTCCCCAGTGGGGGGAAACATCTGAAGGCAGAGAAGCAAGGAAGATGGAACAGACACATGTATATTTGATGATCTTATCTCATCTACCGTAAATGCCCCAGTAGTAGTTCACGCTCAAGAGCGGAAATTGTCTTATCTTCATGGAAGCCAGGAATAAAAAAATACTGGAAGATAAAGATCAAAATTCACACTGCTTCCATTGAAGTAAAAAACAATGTGGCCTGACCCTCTAAATAGTCAACTAATTGTATTAAATAATAATGACATAAAAAGCTAAGAAAAGCCTACTAAACTATGTACTATACTGGTTATGACTCTTTATCATGAATACCTTTTTATATACATCAATTCCCCCAAAAATTCCTAAATTCTAGAAATGCAGATTCCCTGAAAAAGTTGAATATTCAACACTACAAAACCTTTACCTCTAAAATTTTCATTACATTAACTGAGTTGGAATTTTTATTGTAAAAGTGTTATGGTCAATATCAAATGGTCACTTAATTATAACTTGGCAGCACCATCTGGTCATTAGTTGAACCAATAATCCCTTGTAAATATATATATATATTCATAAGAACTAGGAACCACCAGAGCTAGAGGTACTTACACTGCATAAATTCCATTCAGTACAAGATATTGTTGTGGTAAATCTTCTGTGAATTCAACAATAGTCATTAGTCAAGTGAGTTATTTGCACTATATGAAGTTTGTCTCATTTTTTGTGGTAATGTGCTTTTGAAGCAAAGTTTCTATATGAACATTTTTTTAATAATAATCATGATTTAATGTGTACTTGAACTAGCTAGCATACAAGAAGATTGCAGCATGGAAAATGCTTAAATATGATTTACCACTAAAATAAGTATGTATACAGTATTACCAATTTTACCCAACACATAAGCATGTTTGATAGCATAATGTAACCAGAGAGGAGCAAAATGTTAAGGACAAGACCTCGCTGGAATCGGACCCAGACCCCTGAATCTCAAGTTAGTTGCTCTACAGAGCTATCTGACCACCAACCATCAAACCCCTCTGACTGTGACATTCCTCCCTCCTTAAAGGTCTTTGCCCCCAAAGACACCAACCCAGGCTCAACCCCAGCAGGACTTTCACCTGTCACGTCCTGTGCATGGTACAGCACCAGATGTAATAGGAGACGAGAAAAATGCAATGGAGAAGATCAAGACATGAACCTAGGGCCACTGAAATTCCTGTTGGGTGCTCTACCAACTGAGCTATCTGGCCACCAGCAATCAAATCTGTCTAACTGCCACATTTTTTTTAGTCTATTGACAATTTGGTGAGACATGTCAATGCTTTCTATCATTGAATGAAATTGTAATAAATGTATTCTAGTATCAATCTCAAGAAACCCTGAGAATTTAAAAACCCATTCCAAATTGTTCATTTTTTATCATTGATAATTTTCCTCAATTACAAAATGGAGACAGTATTAATATTGTATAATGAGTTTGAGGTACGGAACATTTCTGGTGTAATTGGGTGTAAATTTTAAATTATCTCCTGTAATTGGTTTAAACCAAAAAGATGCCTCAATGGAAGAAGCAGCAATTTTCATATATACATTATAATTTTACTATGTAGCACTGTATCAACTTAGAAACCACCTACTATAAAGAAGAATGCTTATAATTAGAATAAAAAAAACTTCATAGAATAAATTTTTATACATAATTGATTACCAAGTGCAATCTCGGATGTTAATTCTATAAAAATCATCCTAATTATCATCAAAGGCTAAAAACAAAATGAACACTTGGTGCACACTGACATTTTTTCTGCATTATAAAAGTACTAAGTCACTAAGTACAACACGAAAAACCATGTACCATTGAACTAAACTGAATGAATCACTAATGTGCCATGAGAAATGCCTTAATTAAAATTCTAAAACGGAAGCTCAAAATATAAAAACAGAAGACTGTATTAATGGTGCAAGCAAAAAATTGTTACTCAGCCTAAAAAATGTGAAACTTCAATTAAAATGCCACATATTTCTGGAGATGAGTGAAATTCTAAGACAAAACAAAAACATTCAGCTGTTTCATGAGGAAAAATCTTGGCATTAATTGTCATATAAATGTTAGAATTTGCTTAGATTTCTCTTATATTTCGTCAATCACAGATAACAGAGACTCTTTTAATGGAGAAGGACTCTGACAGGTGAGAAAATACCCATAAGGGTTACTAGCAGATTTTGAGAAGGGGCCCAGGGGCTTGCCCCCTTCCTTTTTAAGTGATTAAAAAGATTCATAAATCAATTTTTGGTGTGGTAAATAACATTAATTATACCTAAATTAATGTTAAATAAAGTCAAAAATTGTATATAAAAACTAAAACCTAACAGCTTATGGGGGTTTTGTCCCTAGGCCCCTATCCCTGGCTTTAACCCCCTCCCCCTTTAAGAATCCTGGATTCACTTCTGAAGGTGTCACAGGTAACTCCCCACCACAATAAAAAAAGTCAATTTTGATTTTACTAAAAAAGAATTCTCAAATAAATCTGTATAAGAACATGCGGAATATTCTTAAACTTTCAATGAATCTTAAGTATGCTAAACTGCATGCGTTCTCTTCTATTTTTTTAAGGGTGTTAAGTAGAATTAGTATGACCACATCCTGAAAGCATACAGGAAGTCGTACAGTATGTATGGTGTCGCACCCTAAAGTATGTAACCTGACCCCACAGAATCTCTGCCATTGATAAACTGACTAACAATATAACAGAGTTTCTATTTTTAGCCACCCTAGGCATGGTGCTCACTTTGATAAGTTGTATAAGCTTTGATGATAAAAAGATAGTGCTTCCTTAATTGATCCAATGAAACAAAGCCGTGAAGAAGAATGAGTTTTTTGCCAAAATGACATAGATATCTTCAGGCAAGAACATTACAATAGCGGGCCCTAAAAAATGCTTACTCAGCTAGTGTATGATTTTTACACTAAATTCAAACCATTTCATTTCTTGATTCAACATAAATTTCCTTGGTTTAGAAATTTTATTTCAACATACAGCAACATTAATTTAATGTCTGAATGATAAAACTGATGAAAGTTAAGGATTCAAAATTTCAATCAAAAAGAACAAAATTTTGAGATAACAAGAACTTTCTTCTGAAATATTAGTACATGTAAATGTTTTACGTTTTTATGAACTAAAGACATTCACACTGCTTCCAACTACTCATCTAAATATGTAAATTACATCCATCCAAGCAATATGTTTTCTGTAAACACTGCCTCCTTGCCTAGGTGTAATAGACATTTCCCTATTTTTAGCAACGATCTAATGGGCTCACAATCTCATCGGACAAGAATGAGCAGGGGGAGTGTAATGACTGAGGAATCATCGACAAATCCAGAACTCGGCCGACAGACTCATAACTGAGGGTTCCAAAATCACTAATGTTGCATGACTAGGAAAAATACAAAAAAAATCTTACTTTCTACTTTCGTATATCCATCAATATATCTTGGATCCTGCCCTGCAAGTTCTTCTGTACTGTCCTCAACGGGCACTGTCACATCAGACTTAAAGTCACTCACTGAAATTATTTTTAAAAATATCTGTTTAATGATACAGAATGTATTCAATTTTTATCTGTTTTCATTGGTTGTCGTGGAGACTAAAAATGTCATTTTTAAAATTAAAAATTCTCTTGCATTGCTACATGCATTATGTTGCTATTTTAAGCTTTCTATTTTAAGATTTGTGTAGTGCAAAAAGCTCAGGAACTTCTTTTTTTGATAAAGCTAGACAAACCTGGAACAATAGCATCTTGATTTGGCCCAAACACAAATTCTACTTTTCCATTATCTGGGAAACGAGGATCTGCAAACAAATTAAATAAAAAGTTACCTTGGCTTAGGTGACTGCCAAAAAAATTTTGAAACAACTACAGTGAAAACTGTCTAATCAAACACCCATTCAATCCATTTCACTGTGAATCCTGAACTTGATTTCTATTCCTATTTTATTATTTTCCCTGATTCTTAACGCTGAGTAATTTTTCACCATCTATTCCAACACAAAATTTGCATCCAAGTGCATGGTTTAATATGACAGGTTTCAATACACTCAATTTTTGTTAATAGAAAAGTTCAAAAGATAAGAAATATTGTCATTGTTAACACTGGAAATGGCATTTCATATTAAAATTTAGAAATCTGAGAAACAGTAGCAATGAAATGTCGAAAAAAGGTCTGACATTTAAAACAAGAGGCCCATGGGCCACATCGCTTACCTGAGTAACTTGGGTGATGAAGTTCTTTACCCGATTTCCCCTCTTGCTATACCTATCATGCCCCCCTACCCCCTCCCCTTTCATGATTTTAATACTTTAGAATCTACACTAGCAAGGATGCTTTCACATAAGTTTCAGCTTTCCTGGCCAAGTGGTTTTTGAGAAAAAGATTCTTAAAAGATTTTTTTCTAATTTATCTATGTAAAACTTGGATTCCCTATTGTGGCCCCGCCCTACCCCTGGGGGTTATGATTTTAACAATTAAATATCTACTCTACCCCAGGATGCTTACACATAAGTTTCAGCTTTCCTGGCCCAGTAGTTTTTGAGAAAAAAATTCTTAAAAGGTTTTTCCTAAAAATTCTTAAAAGGTTTTTCCTAAATATATCTATGTAAGACTTGGATTCCCTATTGTGGCCCCGCCCTACTCCCGGGGGTCATGATTTTAATAATTTAATATCTACTCTACCCCAGGATGCTTACACATAAATTTCAGCTTTCCTGGCCCAGTGGTTCTTGAGGGGAAGATTTTTAAAGATTTGTTCTATATATTTCTATGTAAAACTTGTATTCCCTATTGTGGCCCGCCCTACCCCCGGGGGTCATGATTTGAACAATTTAGAATCTACACTACCCCAGGGTGCTTCCACATCAGTTTCAGCTTTCCTGGCCCAGTGGTTCTTGAGAAGAAGATTTTTAAAGACACATTTCTATGTAAAACTTGAAATCCCTATTGTGGCCACGCCCTACCCCCGGGGGTCATGATTTTAACAATTTAATACCTACACTACCCTAGGATGCTTCTACATAAGTTTCAGCTTTCCTGGCCCAGTGGTTCTTGAGAAGAAGATTTTTAAAGATTTGTTCTACACATTTCTATGTAAAACTTGAATTCCCTATTGTGGCCACGCCCTACCCCCGGGGGTCATGGTTTTAACAATTTAATATCTACACTACCCAAGGATGCTTCCACATAAGTTTCAGCTTTCCTGGCCCAGTGGTTCTTGAGAAGAAGATTTTTTAATGACCCCACCCAATTTTTGTCTTGATTATCTCCCCTTGTAAGGGAACTTATCATTTTTACAATTTACATAAGGATGCTTTGTACCAAGTTTGGTTAAAATTGGCCCATGAGAAGAAGTCGAAAATGTGAAAATGTGATCAGAAAAGCTCACTTGAGCCTTCGGCTCAGGTGAGCTAAAAAATTACCTCTATCAGCATCTTCTAACTCCTCCTTGTTAAATAAAAGGTTGTAGTTGGATATAGCACAGGTATGGAACTGACATTTCCAGATGGGGTCCTTTTGGCCTGTATTAGCCTTGTGGTAACAGTTTATCATAATGTCCCCTCTCAGGGGAATTCCGGGGGATATAGAAATACACACCTTCTGCATCTGATCTGTCACATTACTGGAAGAGGTGGGAAAAAATGTTGAATCAATATTCTACATAGGCTTGTATTGTATATTGTTGTGGTAATATCTTCAAAATCATACATATAATACATAAATATAGCTATATGTGCATCTCTGATAAAAAATGACTCTTTATTTACTTAACATGTATATATATCCTATTATCTAAGACATGGATCAAGAAAAAGATATTGTATACAGTTGAGTTTTGTTAAACTTGAATACTAGGAAATCCAACACAAAGGAATATGTCAAACTGAGTCCCAACAACACCCCCCCCACTCCCTTTTATTCAAATTCATGTCACATTTTAGAAATCAAAAGTTTAACTGGAATTTTTCATCACCTTTCCCCATGACAGAAATATTATAATTTTTTTAAGTGTTTGATCTACTTACTAGACACCAGATGTAAATACTGGCTGCATACTCTGGTACACAGTGATGTAGGGGCGACACCCGCCCCGATGATCAAAGTTTGGGACACCGTGCATTACCAGATGGTGGAGGTAGAGGGGATTAGAGTTTATCTTTATTGCACCCGAAAGGAGTCCAGAAAAATACTCAATGTACCTGCAAGAAAAGAGCATTAAAAAATCTGATTTTTTTTTAAGTTAAACATTTTCAAAATGAATAAATTGGAAAGGTTTATATTCTAAATTTTACCTGAAAATGAACCAAGTTTGTATGATTTTAAGCACCATTTAAAATTTTCAATTTTTCCTACAAATATAAACTTGTTTAACCAGTTAAGAATATGAAGTTCAATTTCTATCTTATATGTTCAAATACTGGGTATTTAAGAACAGTAAATTCCCCATGACACTGTCATTAACACTGTAATTAACACTCTTATTAACACTGTCACAGATCTCACCTTCGATGGGAGGGACTTTTAAGTCCACCCAGCTTATCCTCATAGAACCTGTTCATGGCCATCCGGTCCAGGAGCTGCTCTGAACTGCAAACATAAACGCACATCATATTTATTGACTGCTTCTAACTGAATACTTCAGGGTGTATTTTATTTTTATTCCATATGGTCATATTCTTGTACATATATACTAATTAATATTTGGAATACACCCAAGAGATAAAAGTCTAGAATAAAGATGCCTGGTAGTAGATGCATTAGATGCATATGGATTATTTTAACACTTGTAAGTTGTAACATTGCAGATTGTTAAACAATGATATGAAAACAAGTTCAAAAAAGACAGGTCATCTGCCATGAACTAAGATGTGACCTTGAACTGCAATATATTATGTAATCTAAATAGTAAGAAAAAATTCCATCTGATTTCCCTCTAGGAAAATCAAGAAGATTTTATATCTGGAAATCAAAATTAATTTGCACAGTTGAGTTTAAACTCACTATGAGCATTTGTTGAATAACTTTCAACTAACCCTGAGCTGATGTAATTGTAGTTTTATCTAACTTGGAGCAGCTGTTACTGTAGTTGACTAGTTTTAACTAACCTGGAGCAGCTGTTACTGTAGTTGACTAGTATTAACTAACCTTGAGCAGATGTTACTGTTACCATAGTTGACTAGTTTTAACTAACCTGGAGCAGATGTTACTGTAGTTACTGTAGTTGACTAGTTTTAACTAACCTGGAGCAGATGTTACTGTAGTTACTGTAGTTGACTAGTTTTAACTAACCTTGAGCAGATGTTACTGTAGTTGACTAGTTTTAACTAACCTGGAGCAGATGTTACTGTAGTTGACTAGTTTTGACTAACCTTGAGCAGATGTTACTGTAGTTGACTGGTTTAACTAACCTTGAGCAGATGTTACTGTAGCTGACTAGTTTTAACTAACTTGAGCAGATGTTACTATAGCCGACTAGTTTTAACTAACCTTGAGCAGATGTTACTGTAGTTGACTAGTTTTGACTAACCTTGAGCAGATGTTACTGTAGTTGACTAGTTCTAACTAACCTGGAGCAGATGTTACTGTAGTTGACTAGTTTAACTAACCTTGAGAAGATGTTACTGTAGCTGACTAGTTTTAACTAACTTGAGCAGATGTTACTATAGCTGACTCGTTTTAACTAACCTGGAGCAGATGTTACTGTAGTTGAGGAAGGCTGCGATGATGACGGCCAGACGGCCCCGCCCCCCTTTACAGTGTATAACCACCACATGGTGATGATCTGAGTTCAGCCAGGAGTCCAGACTCTTACAAATATTACACAACCTTTCCAGGGGTGGAGCCAGATGCTCCGGCCAACCAAAATCAATAACTTTCTGATTATTTGCTCGTTGTAGGTCATCCCTGGGTTCAGAGATATTTATAACCTGTACAAGTAAACAAAAACCCACTCGATGAAACTTTGTGTAACCAATATTAATTATGCATATAGAAATTAAAATCAATTGAGCAGCATCAGTTGCTGTTTGTAATTTACATTTTCAAACTGATGCCATACTGATAAGAATGTACAATATCAAATTTTAAATGGATCCACTATAAAACACTGTCACCATAAAATATCATTTTCAGGAAAAACAAAATGGCAAAGGCTGTTACTTTTAAGCAGAATTAGATATAAAAGGATGCATCTCCAAACTAAGGACATTCCAAGTTTTTTATCATATGTTTAGTATCAACAAAATGGATTGATTTTGATAAAGCAAAACACATTGAAATATCCACATTTATAATATTGGGATTAACATCTCATTGTTTTCAATCAAGCTTTATTCCAAAGATTTAGATTTTAAAATGTATTTTGTTATTTTATGTTATTACAAACTAACAACAATTCTAAAATGATGATGAGGAATTCTTATAATGCTGTAAAATTGTATTCCCCTTTTGGTTTGTGTGTATATATTTTCTGGATAGAAGGACAGGTGTTTGATTCCTGGGTGAAAGTTAAACAAAGAAGAGAAAAACTTGGAATGGCCTAACAGAATTTTCATCCAAAAAACAAAATTCCCTGCAGGAGGCCAGTGACCTTTATTATATACGTACCAAGACATTTTCGCCATGTTTTGCACGAAGCATATGAAACACGTCTTGTAGATCCCTCTGATATTCAACATTATAGCCTTCAGATAGAAATGACATACCTAGAAAAATATAAAGAAAAAAAACAGATAAGTTTCTGTCAGAAATAAATCGCACAGCAGACAGGAGACTCCATTTTTATCAAGCCCAAAATCTAATGATGCAACAAAAATTAGCAGCATATCACATCCTTCAATCTATTTTGTTGGGAACTTGGGGTGATAAATTACCTACTTAACTTTTCAAAGAATGTGATGAAGAGAAAAAGAAACTAACAGGCCCCTGGGCTACAATGCTCACTTTTATTGCTATACTCGAACAATTATCATCCATTGCTAAAGCCTCAAGGTTATTCTGTTATGTTATCCTGTATCATATTAACTAAAATGCACAAACAAATATACAATCATGTAGTATATTATCGTACTTTAACCTTTAACTTGGCTTTTAACATTAAACTCCAGAAACACCTCTTTTCATAAGAAAATCATTTCACTTGCAATTAATACACTTTTTTAAACAAGAACATATATCAAATTATATACATACAAATTATTCTATCTGTAACATAGACCAATTCTATTTGGGCCTCTTCCATTTTCGTGGACTCATAAAACCTGTAGAAATAAAATTTACTGCTAAATAATGAAATATAACGATGATATATCTTACCATATAAATTGTTTTTTAAACAGAAATAAATGTCATCATAACACATAGTCTATAAATATTTTCAATCTATTTCTATGTTCGCACTTCAATACTGTGTCTCGTTGAAATCTTCTAATAAAATGAGCACATTTAATTTATATTAAGCATGAGTTATCATCATAGGACACCCAATGAGACATTAAAAGGTTGAAATACTGCGTAACTTCCTATTTTATCACTTTGTTCTAAATTTGTTTGTGTATTATTATATATATACTGATTCATGTCCTATTGGAATAAGTTATTGTTACAATCATATTATATCAAGTACTAGTGGACTTACCATCTCATGTTCTAGTTGGTGAAAACATGACTGGCCACCTAAAATGGAAAAAAAAATCATTGTAAAAATAATAAAACAAATTCATCCCACATAAGAAATTTGGAGGAGCATTTACCATAAACATGCAGATTTTAAAAGAATGCAGATGTATGAAAACTTTTCCATCACCAATAATTAACAAACATGTCAAATATAATATATAGTAATTGCAAGAAAAACTTCCTATCGCTTGAGATGAAAACATCTTTAATTCCTCTAAATATCCAAAGAAAATGTTCAATCCCCTTTGGTTGTACAACTTCTTTATTCTTATAAGAAAATTATTATCTGGACATTCGTCATAGAAAAATATATATTTCAACATGTGCAATAAACTTTCTTTTTCCACTTCATGCAAATTAATATGAAGACATTTATCTGTACAGACATTTCAATAACACTGTATATCTTGAAAGTCTACAAACTATTAAAAGATGCACAAACAAGATAAATTCCAGAAGCTTCCTGATTCTAATACACAAAGTGATGGATCCAAAAAATCAAATCTCCGCAGTAACAGTAGCTTAATGGCTGAATCGCTTTTCAACGGTAATAAATTCCACTGTTTCAATTAAGTGATATATCCTCTATTGTTTTTATACATGTTAACTGTTGAAGTATTAAGTAGCAGGGGGGCTTAAGAATGCCTATACATTAATTTCTTCTGATTCAGTTTCAAATTCACTTTGCATGTTACATTTGTACATTAACTTGGAGTGAATCACAGCCTATCTTAGACATTCCAGCGAAAAACCACAATCCTCAAATTTCTCTCGTATAAGCACTTGCACCCCCTATTCTTTCAACCCACATCATTTCACGATTGAAGCATATCAAAAATAAACTGCCGCTGTTAACTTTTTTCCATGAAAATTAACATATATTACACTTTTCAAAACAAAATTCTTTAGCCTTCTTGGTATTACCGCCTTCTTGATATTTTTCGCTCAAAATAAAGATTTCATTTGTGTCCTTGACTGTGAAGTTAAGTTCAAACTGGTTCAACCACTATAATACTGGGTTAAATCAACATCTGTCCATCTGTTCATCTTTTCCATGATTCTGACATGGATAGAAATATTGGCGAGAAATCAATTGGGCCTTATCTCTTATAAGCCAGTCCCACCTTTCATGTTTATACATTTGAAACATTTTCATTTCTTGACAACTGGTACAACCATTCTTTTATATTTAAAAAATCATTCTTTTGACCTGATTCCTCTAAGTTGAAAAAAAAAAACAACAACCAAAAACAGGTTAATGTAAACTTTTTTTTTAAAAACCAGTTCTGATTACATTTATGATTGAACGGTATGTGTGTGTGTTTTATCTTTTGCCCTGTTGAACATTAGAAGTAATGACCCCTTGTTGTAAAATGTTCTTTGCAAGACATCTTGTTGCGAAATTGTGAGGATGAGATCAGCTGCTGGGGTTTACATATGTAGCCGATTCTGATTCATCCTTCATGTATATCTTGTGCCATTCAAAAAAGTATCTTAATTAATGGAAGAGTTATCTCCCCTTTGTTATCCATCCAATTCATTGGGATGGGGTGGGGGTGTTAGATAATATGAGCATCTTTTTTGTGATGAAGTTTCTCTCTTGTTAAGTTTTTTTTTTAAATTTAATTATTTTTTTCTGAAAGGTGTCACTTGGCTTGTTTTTCAGGCACATGAAAAAGGAGGTGGGGTGGGGGTGGGGGGTTGAGACAGGATGCTATGTGCATGGCCATAAACCAGCTATGTGCATTAAGGTGTACTCTAATAAGATTACCCATAGAAGTAACATTCACATAATAATTCACTTCCTTCTAAACCAAACCAAATCTACATAAATTCAGATTGCAGTGAGATCTTTCCTCAGATTTCAAACTTCAAGGAAATTCTTAACTGTCACCTTCTGTCCTATCTCCGATCTCAGTTTTAAATGTGTCATTGTCAAAAATTCACTTTTTACCTTTGCTTGTATACAAAATTAATGGGCCATAAATAAAGTCAATTCAGAGTGATTGACAAATTCAGGTAATTCTTGCAATACAGCCTATTCAAAGTTACAGGTTTCCAGCATTAATCGGGACAAATCTAACTATTCATTAAGTCAACAGCTTACATAATGTTAAATAAACCACCTGTACTAATGGGCCCAGTCTCTATGGCTGAGGCCATTATTTTATACGGGTAATTGTTTTGTTTACTGGGTTGATATCTTGAGCCGGGATCCTGAGCTGGTATCCTTGGGGTCAGAAGTATTAAGTGGCAACTGTTTGAAATAAGATTCCCTTATCTACCGAAAGTGAGGTGTGTGCTACTATGGATCCTGAACTTAACTCCTTCCATGACCTTGGTTGAAAGTGTCGACACGTTTTTGCCTCATAAACTTAAAGCTAAGCATGTGAAATTAGATGTTGTTTTATCTGCTCTAATTCTCATCTTTGCATTCTTGCACACCTGTCTTACAGTCAAGAAAAAATTAATATGTTAAACCAAATGCATATACATGTAATAAATTGTTTCTCTACATTTGGAATTTCAAGGGTCATATATTTTTTACCCCCTCCTTGTTGAGATAAGATCATGAAACATGAACCAAAAGCAACATTTTTCTTTTCCCTGACTATTTTCCACTAAAAAATAACTTCACATCCATACAAAACTATGTCTATGTCTGACAATTGGATGGGATTCAAGCACCTGTCAATTTTGCAAGCTTAAGTGAGGCAAAACACATACAAATTATACATGTTACTGTGTGCAGTTTCTGCATAATTGATACATGCAGTAACGACATGTATATTGCGCAAGAAATTACAACAGGGTATGAAAATGTGCAGGATCGAACAAGTGGAATTCAATATTGCGCGCAGTTCAATTAAGCTTGACAATGAAGGAAAAAACAAACACTAATTTCCTTTCTATAATTTAGGGGCTTTCAAAAACTTTATGAATTTTTTTTTCATACAAAGATCACCACACAATTAGCCTAATGAAATGAAATGAGACATAGGGTGTACCAGGCGGCTAATTTATAAATGACTCCTCTGAATCAGCCATAGCCTTCAGTAACCCAACCTTAATACATTAACAAACTGGGCAAAAGAACAAAGGTACATGTAGATGTCACTCCTGGTCTGAGCCGCTACATTATCCATCATATCAACTGCCACCACCTCTTCATGGCTAAAGCCAGCATCGTAAGTAGGCGCGTGAATAACGAGGGACGTAATTAATTCTTATCAGCGATAATCTTCCTCTAAAAGCTAATTAAACTATGAAATTTATTATTTAATTTTTGTACACCACTTTTTTTGATCGACTACTTTTTTTCTATTTATAAAAGATTTATCAATCAGAGGTTGGGCCCATCAATCATTTGTGATAATCAATGGGAGAAAAAAAAAAATTATCTGTGAATTTTTTTTTCTTCACATCTGGATGTGCAAAATCTGCGAAAATGCGTACTTACCTACACAATCCATTGATTAGAATCCCCCCTTCATTAGAACTCCAGGCTGACCATTAGTGACAATCCATATTTCCATTAACAAAAGCAGCCTCAGTTAATTATTTTTCACTTAATTACAACAACGGCTAGAACATTTGCCATGTTTATAAAAGAGGGGAATATGGCCGTCTGCATCCTTTATTTGGACATGATAAATATAGAAAGAAGATTCTTCGCATACTACTCACACACAACTGAAGAAAAATACAGGGTGTTTTTAAAGTTAGCATTACATTTCTCTGCTTGTTTCTATTGCACAAGAGATTTGATTCTAGAACTTTTTGAAAAAACAAAAAAAAATTTCAAGTGGAGATCTTTCTGCGATGAGTTTTCTTGGAATTTTGCTCAAGGAAAATGGCGGCTGCCAGCCGATAAACTAAATAAACAACATAATATTTAAACAGAAGTCCAAAATCAACATCCAGATGCTGCCAGTAACCAGCTGATAGTTTCTTCCTGAAACATATCTCATAAAAACCCAGCTTTTGAAACAGTGACTGATACTGTTAAAAAAAGATGCATTCTTTTTTTTTTTAATGTTGTTGTTTTAGGGAAAGTTGTGTTAGATTTATTATGGTATTATTAACATTTTCTTTAAATTTGCAATTAAAGTTTAAGGATTTCTGACATTTTCTGCATATGAACTTTAAATTATATAAGTAAAAGTAATTTTTCAAACTGATTCTTAAGATAATTGAACTCTGTCTTTTTTCCAGAACATATTTGACAAACAAAAAACTTTTCCCTAGCTAGAACTAATTAACAAACCAAAGAATATGATCTTTTGTCTCAAGTTTTTACAAACACACTTCATAGGAGGCCCTATTACTGCTTCCTACTTCCCACTCATACAAAAAAAAAAATTCAAAAGAATATTAAATGTCTCCGATCTATCAAACTTGAACATTAGATGAAAGGCCATAATGACAGCCCAATGATTTCTATGAGCTATACATTGCTAACAGCTTATATGTGGCCACCTATTATAATACAGCCCTCCTTTTAACATTCACTGATTTTAAAGAAAGGGACTCTGACATAACCCTAGTTATATTACAACCTATCTAAATATGATTACTTAGGAAGTTTATACACTGTGACCCTCAAGGTCAAATGAACTCCTTCGTCCACTCAATTTCTACGGCAAACCTAAAAATACAATTTCTCTCTGTTTGCCTCGATTCCATTACTAATGTACAAAAACATCTTGCTAGTGCTTTTGTTGCCACTCACAGAAATGTACCAAGCTTTTACTGCTTTTCCTCCCAAAATAAATCTGTCTACTTCAGTTACTATGTACATGTAAGCGCTACATGTTATGCACAATTACTGACTTATACAAGTGTAATAGCAGCCTATAATTACTATAAAAATATATCATTCAAGGTAAAAAAAAAAAGATTAAGTGAAAGGAAAATATCAAAGAACATCCTCTGAGTACCCTAACTCAGACAGTATAAAGTCCATCGACTTTGGATTCAAATGTTTAAAATATTTCAGAGGATTACATAGACCTCCATCATAGTTCATAATCCATTTTTGTTGAGGCATTAAAAAAACATCTATGTTTACAAATACCTACTGTACATCAAGTATTAATTAAAAGGCTGGGGGATTCAATCTTTACAGATTAAATGTCAACAACGCAACAAAAGCAAAGTCTATCATGCTCTGCAACCTGACATTCTAATGTTACAGAAAATTATATCAACAAAATGACCGAGATGCATGCTGCTTTTTAAGACAACAAAAAAAGAACAAATGAACAACTCTTCATCACCACACCCAACTTGTTTGAGTTAAAGAAACCTTTGATCCAAATAAATGGGAAATTAATGTAGAGATTATTCATCTTGAACGTGGGTGTAACAAGCAGTAGTGCAGAAAGTCACAAGTTCACCGCTATAGATTTTTATTGCAGGGTTCAGGAAGATCATTTTCAAAATTCAGAAGCTTTTAATAGGGACCACCCCAATCTACAATCAATATTTTTTACCTATATACTGCACTCACACAAATTTTATGATTATCAAATTATTGAATTCTACAATGGCAACATAGTGCAAAAAGGTCACAAGGTGCAAAGACTTTGCATGCCAGTTGCAAAGGAATCATTT